ATTTTTTGCATTTTGAATATAATCCTAAAAAGTACATTGAAATGATTATATATTAAAAATAAATTTCTGTAAAATGCAGTCTATTTAAATATATATTTAAGTATATATTTCTTTTGCCTGGGTATTCACGAGACAGACTGTGATGTAAGGTCCCAAACTCCCAACTCAGTGATAGGTACCCCAATGAAGCAGCAGTTTACTCATTCCATTTTGTTTATTTTATTTTATTTTATTTCAAAACTTTATTTCATTCAAACATCAATTAAAACAATACAAATAATAATAATGTTGCGTCAAAAAAAACACAACACAGCATGGCCAAATGAAAAGGAGCAGAAAAAAGAAAAAAAATCTTGTAACATCTGCCCCCATTAAAAAAATATTTCTACAAAATGTACAACACGCAGAAATTAAACTCAACTTTCACAGTATAGCTTAAAACAATCAACAAAACAACATCACAACAGAAATCTCAATTTCAACCAATACYTTGTTCATATCTCATTAAAAAAACGTTTAAGCTTTCTACCAAATGAATAAATAGTTCCAGCATTTTTAAGGTCTTTGTCCAAGTTGTTCCACAGTTTAATTCCTCTAACAGAGGTGCATCGTTCCTTCAAATTTGTTCTAATTTTTGGCTTTACAAACATTTCAAGTCCCTTCAAATTATAAACACCATCCCTCTTAAATCTTTTAGGAACAAAGGGGAGAAATAAAGGTGAGTTCACCAACCTTCAGGGTGTAGCTGCCTCCTCCACTGGCAGGATCCTGATAGCRGACAGCAACAACCAGTGTGTTCAGGTACACCTCACTTTGTCTGCTTTCAAGAARATTTGTGGGTTTTTAGACAAAATAAAGAGTTAAAACTTCACTTACAGGCTCATAAATTGGTCATGTTTGCAGATTTTCTCCAATGAGGGTGAATTTAAGAGTCGTTTTGGGGTTCGTGGGCGGTCTCCGGGCCAACTGCAGCGACCGACCGGTGTTGCCGTGCACCCCTGTGGTGACATCATCATCGCAGACTATGACAACAAATGGGTCAGCATCTTCACCTGCGAGGGCAAATATAAGGTTAGGTTCTTTAAATTGTTTGAWACTTCAATCGAAATGGTTCTGTTTTGRATTGAATCCACTGTTAACCTTTCCTCCAAGGCAAAACTTGGCTCTGGTAGACTCATGGGGCCTAAAGGAGTGTCTGTGGACCAGAARGGACACGTGATCGTTGTTGACAACAAGGCGTGTACCGTCTTCATTTTCCAGCTGACCGGCAAGCTCATCACAAAGTTTGGTAGTCGAGGCAATGGTGACAAACAGTTTGCAGGTACACAAAAATAATTTGAATACAAGTGTATGTTACCAAGGTCCTAACAACTTTGAGCTTTAAGGTGGAAAACCATCTAAAAGTCTGTTTCTGTCCTGAAGGTCCACACTTCGCAGCCGTGAACCATAACAACGAGATCATCATAACAGACTTCCATAACCACTCAGTCAAGGTGCTCAACCCTTTTCATWTACTTCCTCTGTTGTTAGGGAAGAAAATGATGGAAGTACAGATTGAAGTATAGATTGTCTGAAGTCTTTGTCTGCTCAGGTGTTTACCCCTGAGGGAGAGCTGGTGTTGAAGTTTGGCTCAAARGGAGAAGGAAACGGTCAGTTCAATGCTCCCACAGGCGTAGCTGTGGATGTTAATGGGAACATCATCGTTGCTGACTGGGGCAACAGCAGAATACAGGTACAACATCCATCCAAAGGGTTTCAGCTTGAAATAATACAATCATTAATCTGTTTTTCCTCCGGTACCAAACCTTTTCAGGTTTTTGATGGCAGCGGCTCCTTCCTTTCCTACATCAACACATCAGCGGACCCTTTGTATGGACCACAAGGTCTGGCTTTGACCTCTGATGGACATGTTGTGGTCGCCGACTCTGGGAACCACTGCTTCAAAGTCTACCGCTACCTGCAATGATAAAGGCTTGGATGGAGATCAGGAAGTAGGAGAAAGGTGAACAGGAGGACAATGGTCAATGTGAAATGAGAGGTTTGGTTTATACGATTGTGACCAGGAAAGATCGAGAGGACTTCAAAAGCATGTAAATGAAAGAAGAAGTGGTRGGAAGAACTTTTCAGAAATTTACTCCTCCAAAATGAGATGCAAGAGTGATGAAAGTCAAGACAAAAGATCAGAAATGGATTACAGTGYTCAGAATCAAGATGTCCACTTTCTTCTTGTTTGGTTTTGGTCGATCAMTGGAGGATTAAAGGAACACAAAAAACCAAGAACAGAAGACAGTGTCTTTTAGAAGCCAWTGCATCCTAAATGTAGAATATTTTGAATGTTGGATAAGAGATCAACCAACCCTGCAGGCATGGATTTGTGAATGTGGATGTACTTTGGTGAGAATGGTTTGAATTGTTGAAAGTTTTCTAATGTTCTGCCTTGTTCTGTATGAAAGAGACAAAAACGGTCAATAAGCTAAAAGTGGTCCATGTTCAATATTTATTTTATTATTCCCACAATGTTATTTCTTAATTTTTAGGCTATTATTTAACATTTGGAACCTAGAATTAGCATTAGGTTGTTTTTATCTAGAATTAGCTAAACGTTAAACTGGTCCAAGAGTTTAAGAGAAGTTGTTTTTGGAAATGTAAATATTTAAAATTTAAAAATTTGATAAGGAAATACCTAAACATCCCTCACAGAAGTCACTGCACAGTCAGCACTGTTACCTTTACAGCTGAATGGAACCTCAGCAGTGAAAAGTTTGCATGATCTCTCCGTGCATGTTTGGGTTTTCTCTGGTTTTCTTCCCACTGACCAAAAACATGCATGTTAGCTTAACCTGTGACTCTGAACTGGCCCMAAGTGTGAGTGTTTTTATGCATGATTGTTTGTCTCGATGTGGTCCTGTGATGGACAGGCGATCTGTCCAGGGTGTACCCCGCCTCTCACCTGATGAACCACCGTCTCTGACCCCGACTGGGATCAAGCCGGTACAGACACTGGATGGATGGAACTCACATAATCATATTTCCATTGACTGCATGATCAGGCTTCTGTTAAAAATGGTCCTAAACTACATTGTCCAGTTGACCTTCTTATTGGGTACAAGGATTTGAATATTCAGATAACCTCCACTCATTGGTCCCCTAAAAATAAAGGAGCATGTAAAAACAGAAGGTTAGAGTCAAGAGGTAGAAATCAGGATTGGGCCACAGACATGGGCCACTTTTAGCTTGTTGTCCCATCTTTGTACATAAAGATTGTTTTACTCTAGAATGTTTTTCTTTTCATAAACTAGGATTCTTTGAAGGTCTTAATCAATTGATTCGTAATGAAAAAAAAAAACAGCTGCTTGAAACAAATTCTGATTGTCTGAACAGTTGAATGGACTGATGTGGTGGCTTAGACGAGCAGCAGCATCTCTGCGCTCGGTTTGCGTGCTCATATATATATTTTTCCCTGAGAAAACAGTTGCAGAATAAAAACAAAATAAAGCTCTATAAATCTATCCTATATATTTGTGAGAACACCTTTAACAATATCAGGTAAACACTTTAATCAACATGGTTGGAATCYGTAAAATATTTTCTGAGGATTCTAGTACGTTCACACTGAGGTACTAGATTCCCRTCAGAGGTCCGTGAAGTGATGTTGTCAAACTGTACAATTCCACAGTTCCTGTCATTTAAGATTTTTCAATGTTAGAAGCACGCTTTACGCCATCATGTGGTTGTCAGARATACCGGCTGTACCTTTTTGAAGACTCATCATCCATGTCATGTTAATTCTACATGCATGATAAGACAAAAACGAAACTTTCTTTCAACCATTTAGTACAGTTAAATTCTATGAGAGTAGCTTTGAGGCACCAAACAGACCATTCAGGGAGCGATGCTACAAAATTTACCAAGAATAGTGAGGGTGTAACTCGATTTTATGGTCAAAATAAGGATTAATATCTTGATGATCATCTTCTAGTTTAGCCTGAAGATTTGATCATTTCTTGAAAGCATTCTATTCTCATCAGGTTGGTAATATTTTTTTTCCAAATATATGGAAGAAAATACCTTTATAAAAACACTACTATAATCACATGAATGAGATGAACAGTTTTCTATATTTTGTTGACAATGTTCAATTTTGGCAGATTTYTTTCTACAAATTTCAGACCCATCGCAGAATACTTTCATTTATTGCCTGTTTTTATCAAACAAACTGTCAATTTCATTTGTTACAAAGGATGTGCATTGCATCATGTCTGGTCTGTGCACTTTAGGTGTAGTGAAACTCCAATTGTCAACAAGTGTCAGTTTACAGTGACATRATGCAGAGCATCAAATAACATGACGCAGTTGCAAATATTTGGCAAATTACCTCGAAAATCACTGCACAATAACTAAAGTTCTGAAAGGTGGTCTCATCTGCTGCTTCAGGACGCCAATGAAGGCCTTTTAAGTGGCGTCGACTCTGAGGCGGACTGCTTTATCTCATATTATTATTACTCAAAATACTCTTTCACCACAGACTGTTTGTCAGATCTTTTAGTCCAAAACAAACCTGGTTCAAAAACAATAAAATACACTCCAATCATATCAAGCTTAAACTTTAATTTTTGACTTCAGTTTATTAAAWGCTTATTATTATTCATGTAATTAGTCCTTTGAGTGATTGTTTTCCACCTTGTGCATTGGAATTCTTAAGTGCCCATATTCTTTTTACYTTTCATCATGTAGTCTGAATCAAAATGTGATTGTTCTGCCTGTTGTGATTGGACTCTCTGTATAAATGTTTCATTGTCAAAATTGTATTCTTTGGCAAAATAATACAAGTCAGCCAGTTTGAAAAATGGGAACCATCGCATTTCTCACTACGACATAATGCCAAAAACCTACTTTCTTCAGTCTTTAATTACAAACACTGTATTTGCCCTTTAAGGCTAACTAGCTTTAACTGTTTTGGCTAATAAGCTAAAGCTGTCTTGGCTATTAGCTTTAGCTGTTTAGGCTATGTAGTTTTAGCTTAATAACTTTTCAGAGCACACAGAGTTTTGGTCTGTAACAAATCTGCCATTATGTCTCAATAAGGATTGTTTTTTATTGTGAAACACAACAGTTGCTTTCATGCTTCATTATAGTGCAGCAATTTGTTAAGAAGAGCTACATTTGTTTTTCCTCTTTGTAAGTTTTGTCTGTTGTGTGTGTTTACTAAAGGCTTGTTTCTCAATATTCAGAAACGCTCAACACTGAAATAAAACATTGGTTCCTTATCAACAGTTTTTTGTGTGTGCGTTGTTTTGTTTCTTAATTTAAAGGGTTTTACGATATCAATGATGGTGTGAAACACAACAGTTGCTTTCATGCTTCATTATAATGCAGCAATTTGTTAAGAAGAGCTACATTTGTTTTTCCTCTTTGTAAGTTTTGTCTGTCGTGTGTGTTTACTAAAGGCTTGTTTCTCAATATTCAGAAACGCTCAACACTGAAATAAAACATTGGTTCCTTATCAACAGTTTTTTGTGTTTGCTTTGTTTTTTTTTCTCCTTAATTTAAAGGGTTTTATGATATCAATGATGGTGTGGTCCTGTTGGTGTCATCGAGCCATGACTTCCAGCTTTGGAGTGGTTCAGCAAGGATAAGGATCAGCACCTTCCACTTTGAGGCCAMGGTCTTCWGTCAGTAAAGGATGYACTGTCCTCTCTGMGTTGGGAGTGAGGTGAGTGAAGCATTCACTGTAAATTGCAACAAGCAAATGCTCATTTCCCTGATGTAGCACAAAAAATAAAAAAAATGTCAATATGTTCAGTCAAAAACAAAGCACCACTGATTTTATGTATTCTGTTTATTATTYGTTAATTATTAGTATAATTATGTTGCCTTTCTCTCTCGCTCTGTGTGTGTGTGTGCTTGTTTTTGTACATTTCGGGGACCCTGATTTTACCCATCATATTGAGGACATGAAAGTCCATTGGTACATTTCAAGTTTCGTCTCAGCACTTCATGTTAGAATCAAGTTACAGGCATCTAATATATGAAAAACACAATCACAATGAAGAAAATATCAAGAAAATATTAAAGAAATTAAACAGAAATTCATTACTAAACATTATGTTAAAAACACACCAGTCTATAGTGTTAGGATTAATTCARAATGTGTTATTTAAAGTAAATAATGGACTTTAGGTCCAGAATATTTGGTGTTTTTAAGGGGCAGCAAAGAGAAAGATGAATGACCAAAGAAGGAATAAACTCTAGAAATATTWATGGGAATAAAGTTACTGGAGTAAATTGTGGTGGATGTTTGTTAGAAATGTTGGTAAACAAACAAGATATAGTTTTGCTAATAAAGCAAATGTTTCTACATCCACATGCCATTTTTATTCAGACATGACAATGGTTTTATTATGTGCTATATAAAATATGCATAAAACAACCATTTTTATAWTCCACATTGATGTCCAGACTCTAACTTTGGGAGCTAATTATTAAAAATTTCCCCTATTATTTAAAATGGAGAAGATTTACACTGCWACCCCAATTCCAGGAAACCCAAAGACAGACAAATACATCACTAGAGGGATTTCTGATCTGAAAAGACCCCCCAGGAGGATCTMGGGAGTTTACATTTTGGACTTATTGCTTTTGTAACCCAAGTAAATATATTAAAAAGAAAACAGATGGATGAGCAATACGTGCCTTGAATGTTGTATCAATGTTTCACATTTTGATTACACATTTATGTTTTTAAAATTCAACCATTTTCTATACTTTGTTTTTCTGTTCTGGGTTACAGACAGCTAGTGACTAGATTCAGTGGTCATGGTAAAGTGAGGTACAMCTTAGATAAGTCTCAAATCAGAGTTCCTGTTTTAAAAATCTAGTTTACAATTTGATAAAAAAATGTGAGGTTAGAAGTTTATCTTTAAAACGCTCTGCAACACAACAGTTTCCTGGTCTTATGAAGGTACAGAAGAGGTAAGACCAAAGATGAAGGCAGATTGAACCATGCTAAACTCACCTTCATTAAACAATTAACATCATCGCTCACTGGAGACTTGTTCAAAGCATTGCCAATGAGGAGCCCCACAAACCACAACCAGAGAAAACTGGATATGACTGTGARGGTATAGAAAGCTCTCCGCTTTGATTGGTCAGCCCCATCCTTCACCCGCCCCCCTTCCTTTGGGCCTGGATGAATCAGAACACAGAGAACTGAAATGCTGCAGAATGACACAATCAGTAAGGCTAAAGTGAAGAAACATGAAACTAGGATGGTTGAATAGAGAGATGGCACAGTTTTATACATGATTGTGATTCCAACACTAAGAAGCCAAGCACACCCGATGCTGATGTTTCTGATCCTGACTCCACGGGTGGTTTTTAGCCCCCGGTATGTGATGGGGTGAACTACAGCCAGGTACCGTTCCACACAGGTCAGGAGGTGAAACAACAATTCTCCGTAGAAATTGACAAAACAAATATACGTTGATGTTGTGATCATATCTGAGTCATCTGTGTATATGCCATCAAGGTAGAAGAAGCACCCAAAGATCCAGGTGAGCCCCATAGCAGCCAGGTGGTACGTAAAAAGGTCAGAGTGGCTCGCTGTTTTAAAGGACCGATGCTGCCGCCATCTTTGATGACCCAGGTAGAGGACGAAGGATGAAAGAGGAAGGAGGAGGAGAATTTTCATCACAATGTATCCAGTGGAGARGAAGATGCTGARCTTTGAACTGCCACTARGGTGGGCTAAAGAYMTATTAATGTTGGARGGGGAGTAAAGCAACATTTCCAATYRGTACACTGTATGCCTGTTTAGAAAAACAAACAAAAACACAAAAATAAAAAAGACAATGTAAGAATAGAACAAATTATCAACAAATTAACCCCCAACAGGAGTTGAGATGAACCGGGAACCAAAATTTACAGTTTGGTTAACTTTAGGGAAAGAAACAACTCTTTGAATTTAGCATTACGTCCTGTTTATGTAAAAGAAATCAGCTTTTAAATCCTATGTTATTTCCTGACATGCAATGATTGTATATAACAATGTGCGCCTGACAAAATTTTCACATATGCATTGGCCTCCACAGAGGCGGAGCCAGGGGGTGGCCAGGGATGGTCATGGACACCACAGGCAAACTTTTGGCCACCCCATTGACCACCCTGCTGTACACTCCCCTTACACAGTAAAACAACCTTTAGGGGTGTAATAATCCTTCCGAACAGTTGGTGGCAGTGTTTAACAGTTTGAAACATCACCAAGCTCTATCACTGAAGAAGAGTAATGAAAAGGAAGTGATAATTTTCTTTATTCACAGAACATATGCTTATTTAAGCCCTTTCCCAATCGGTGGCTACACACTCGCCCTACTCCCTACACACTACACTCTCTGTGAAGCACCCTCACTGCTGAACTGAGTCCCCTTGAT